GTGAAGGAATAATATTTGCATTGCATTGAACATTATAATTTGCGTAATTACTGGTTGTAGAACGTTTTTTGAGGCCGCACGGGTAGGTACCACCGCCCTGCCTATCTCTGCCGTGAAGCAGTAATGCGTTTCGGTTTGAAGGGTGGGGCAGTCGTTGTGTCTATACTGAGACCTTAGAACTTATATCTCAAGGTGGGTGGTGCATTTACGTTGTAGATGTCTATGGGCTCCAGTAACCACTTAACAACAGGTGGGCTGGAGCTCGTCCACCCATTTAAGCAATAAAAAGTCCTAATCATTCCATCTTAAGTAGGGCGTACTGCGCCATTTTACGGCGGCATTTAGTTGATGCCCCAATTAAAAGATATTATATTTCTTTAAACAATTCTTACAAATAAAATACATATCCAAGTGAAGAACCAAATCATTTTGAACGAAATTTAATCTTGACAAAGTACAAGACGAATCATTATACGCAGTATTGAAGGCGTTTGTAAACCAAGCACAGGAAAAACATTTATTTTGGTTTAGGCAAATGGTGACTTCATTGGAATCGACTGCCTGTTGGCCATGATTTCTCAGTGGGGTGCGTAAGCCGACTTAGTGGTTACTTACATCACCTCACGAACACCGTTTACGGAAGTGCCATACGAAAACTACATTTTCACTTACATCTTGCTTAGCAATCGCGTTCCATAACTTTTGTCGTAATCAAAAAGTCAAACACAAACAAGATTAACCTTTGGATAACTATGTTAGCATTATACTCAGACAGTGAAAATACAGTTGTTACGATTTCACAGTTGAATTACTTCTATTTAAACGTATCTTACCACAAGCATTTTTGTCCCTAAAAAGGAAGAAGCAGGAACATTTTATCTACTCTTTCATCCGGGTCAGTAAGTTTTTTTTTTAAACGCTTAGATGGGTGGACGAGCTCACAGCCCATCTGATGTTAAGTGGTTACTGGAGCCCATAGACATCTACAACGTAAATGCGCCACCCACCTTGAGATATAAGTTCTAAGGTCTCAGTATAGTTACAACAGCTGCCCAACCCTTCAAACCGAAACGCATTACTGCTTCACGGCAGTAATAGGTGGGGTGGTGGTACCTACCCGTGCGGACTCACAAGAGGTCCTACCACCAGTAATAAAGTAAAAGTCTGGAGCGATTTTGCATACCTGTTATGTGCATAAAATTAATTGACGATTTATTTATTAATCTTCTTCATTGAGAACAATGGACTGGCCAAGAAAAAAACGAGTTGAGGTATTATCATTAGTCCTTTGAACAACATTTGNAATAGGTGGGGTGGTGGTACCTACCCGTGCGGACTCACAAGAGGTCCTACCACCAGTAATAAAGTAAAAGTCTGGAGCGATTTTGCATACCTGTTATGTGCATAAAATTAATTGACGATTTATTTATTAATCTTCTTCATTGAGAACAATGGACTGGCCAAGAAAAAAACGAGTTGAGGTATTATCATTAGTCCTTTGAACAACATTTGATGTTATGGACTGTATCTGGGTGAGTGTGCAGTAAGCGATCTGCAAAATTCGGCATTCCTACCCTTGAATCGGGACAGTTTAGGACTGTACATACATTAACCATATCTTGATTAACATAAAAGTCGATTTACTAGGCCGCTGTGACCTTGTTAAATGAAAAACACTATATATGCGGGCGCCGTAACTTGTAGTATATTAGTATGATAATATAATTTATAATATATTATCATTATAGATATATAATTAATAATAAGGTATATTATACTTTAAATATAAATACTTTCTTTAATAAAGACCAAATGTCTTGTTTTACATTATTATTATTTTTTGCGGCATCGTATTAATATATTAATAATTTGGTATACAATTTATGATCGAATTGCAGATCAATAAAAGACACACATGTAATGTTTGAACAAATACCACGAAACATATTTTGCGATAGCAGAGAAACTAATAAAGTTGGCTAATATAATGTTTTGGACTAAACTACCGCAATATTGAGATTACAAATATACTGTCCAATATAAGGTACCTAAATTAAACAATACAGATATTATGTAGATATTTGTTATGTTATTTTAGTTATTGTATTCAAATCCGTTAAGTCCACAGGAGTGCCACGAAATAGCTTTATAACCACGCACACTGCGCCAATGATTTGATGCTTAAATTGGAACGATTTTTTCGACTTTAATTCTATTTAAGTTATTTCAGGATTTAATGGTTTGACTTAATTTAGAAATGCTTGTAATGGAATTCACAAACAAATTTCTTTTTGAAGATTTTGGTTACTAAGATCTCTTCATTAGTAGATCTCTAGGTTGGTGTGATTCACACATTAATTGAATTTAATTAAATACCTTTAAAGTACTCTTTGTGCTGGAGGACGATTGTTCAAACGCTTACGTACCTGAAACAAAAAAAACATTTCATTATTTTGGAATCACTATTTCATGAGGAACGCTGAAAATGAAATTCTTAGTAATAATTTAAACGCGTTGAGACAGGTGTCAACTGCGTTACAATTTAAGGATCGTTAAGGGTAACGTAAAATATAAACATGAAAAATTAGTGTAATGGAACGTAAAAAGTCCTACGAATCCAATTAAATTTCATTCGGAGAAATAACGCGATGACCGTTTTTATGAGCATTAAATTAGCAATACTATGTTAGTTATTAATATAGCGTGTATCAAAATAGCACGAATAAAGAACTTATCGAATTACAAGGTTGCAATTTAAATATACATTTTTTAATACTAGAACGATTCACGGTGAACACGGAATATCAATGAAGCGTCAAATACATACAAAACGTGCAGGGACCTTTGGATACGCTAACACAGTGTAGGGAGAATAGTAAGCCAACTTGAGGGCATGTTTTTCTAAAAACGAACGAATTCAAATCTAGTATTTTAAAACATCTTGTTTTAAGTTCATTACAAAATTATGTATATTTGATTGATTGATATTTTGTGTACGTAAATATTTTGTAATTTTCTTGACTATTCTTCACACTGGTGAAACTATATTCCGGATCGGAACTACAGTACAGACAATTTAAAGGCGTCTGTGAAAGCCTATTTCAATAAATAAAACTATCTTACTTTGATTTTGACTATCGCAATAAGGACAATGACAACGGAAACATTAAAAGAATACACAGTAAACAGAATAAATTCACGATAAAATCTCCAAAATAAAACATAATACGGTAAACCTACCCCGATCTTCGTGCAAACTTCGTGTAAGGGAAAACCACAATGAAACGATAAAGGAACACCGGATATTAAAACCCGATTAACGAGACAGTAACGTACTGATCAAACAAAATCTTGGCGTGTTCTTCATATTATGACATTTAACAATTACTAAAACCTTGGTTTTTATTGTAGCACCGTGACTGACATTGGATTAACCTTGACGTTATTGCTAATCAATAATCTTTTGTGTTTGTGGACCTGTTTATTATAGAAACTTTGCATGTTTAGTTGCCAAAGTATATTATTAAATATTATATACCGTGGGTTTTCGGTTAAGAATTTAACGATTGAAATATTGAAATCACCATTTAAATAAATATTTATGCTGCAAAATTCGCGGAATATATTTACTAAAATGCGTTATATTTGCAAAATTCCGGAATATAATTGCGAATGTTATCTGCAAAAATGTTTGGCAATAAATCCACTTCACATTGTAATTTAAATACAGCGGACTAGATCATAAAATGAAAAAAGTGTACATGAAACATCTATAATTATATGAAGCATCTTCAGTTTGAAGACCAAAAATTTGGTTTGTTTATTCAATGTTCATCAGAATATTTTAAAAGTGATCTCACGAATCTACCACATTTTTCCTGAATGCATTAGCTTTTGACATGTAGACACAATACACAAATTGTTCTGTGTTACATAATGGAATGGAACAGAAGGAAATAACTTCGAAATAAGGACGGCAGTCTCATACATTCCGTGCACGAAGGCCGGATACAGAGTTTTGGAGTTCAACAACTCATGTTTGAATCCCATATTTCCTTTTTGCGTACGTAGAATTTTAAATCGGTCGCTTTAAATTTTAATAATATTGTGTGCAAAATCAAATGTGGGTCAAGCTTTAAACCAAATCGATATGTGTAAAAATTAAGATCAAATAATAAATTATTAATCTGTATACATAGTCGAACTGTACTCAAACTGTACCAAATATTCTTAGTTAATTTCGATTCATATTTAAATACTAATCATAATTTTATAATAACAATAATACAATATGGCAGGATGACATCAGAAGGACACCGTGCCCGAATTGTATTCAGGTGACCCAGAATACGGAGAGCACAGAAATAGATAGGTTTTTTCATTTTATTATATGTAGCCGCGAATATGTAGTCAAACACCGTCATCTGACCGAAAACTACAATTCCCTACATCATATAAACCATAGATTATATAACATACTTATATATGTTTAAATATATACATATATAGATAATAACCAACCAGACAAAGAGCAAGCACACCTGTTATTCAAAAACTTGTTTGCCCGATGTGGGAATCGAACCCAAAACCCTGGGTCCAGCAGGAACTACTACATATTTGTATGTTCATTTTTTTGTTTCTATTCACAGTACTTTTCAATTTCTTATATATTGTGACTTTTTTGGTGTCGGAAACTATCTCAGGCACTAATTAAGTATCTCTACTGTCGCTCATCCACGTAAGATATACCAACAGTCATGCCGCTCTGACTACAGCGACCCTCTATATTCGAGGTTTAATGTCAAACTCCTTTATTGACTAAATCAAGTCTTTATTTTCTGTGACTAACTCATGACCTTAGTAATACTAAAATCTGCAATATTTTTAGGCAATACAATAACAAGAAATTTCTTAAAACATATTAAAATGGTAGCCATTGAGCTAATCGGATGTTAACTGAGACATAAACAAAAAAGATTTCTCATTCATCAATCACTTACCTTATTTTCCTTAATTGCTACAGTACTATCAGTCTTTCCTGTCTTCAATTGGTCAGTTTTTAATAGCGTCTGCTCTGTCATTGTCCTTTCATTGACTAGGATTTCTCTGCTATTTTTCCTTGAATGATTAATAATGTCGGGCTTCGTTGAGCTCATTAAATTACTAGCGTTCTCGTTTGTACAGTTCTCTTTGCCGAATCTTCGATCTTCGTCCAGACGTGATTTATCTTCGGAACTTTTCATTTTGAAACAAGATATCGATTTCTTATCTTTCTTGGCTTCGTCCTTACTAATTGGATCATCTTTATCACTTTTGCGTTCGCTTTTTTTGTGAATCTTGACACTTTCAGTCTTGAGACGTTTCTTCTTCACGTTCCATTTGGTGTTTGTATTTTTAGATCGATTGCTGTCATCGCTACTGCCGACGCTGTCTGAGCAAACCGGGTTAACAAGAATCTTCGTCGATTTTCCTTTACTATCGCTTTCTAGTTTCCTTAGGTTCAAACGACTTCCAGAAACGTTGATGAGTAACGGTGATGATGTGTGTGACGGAGAACTATCTTTTGTTTCGTCACTGAGTTGACGGTCTGATTTTTGAAAGAGTTTGATGGATTTCATAGCGCCTGAGTGATTATGTCGTAATTTGCTGGTTTCTAACGGTCCCATGGCAATGGGTGGTCCTTCTTTAAATAGCAACACCTTCTCCATAGGTTGAGAAACACAAGCTAACATTTTATATTACGTCATTTATTTTCTTAAAAACTCTTATCACAATTAGCACTCACATTTTTGGTGTACTTAGATATCTACAGAAACAAAATTCTAATTTATAATGACTGGAAACCTTAAGAAATCTATAAACTTGAACGTAATAAATTATTAGGATTTTAGATCATTAAAAAATTTGAAGAGATTAGAAAAAGTTATTTGAGCTATTTTCAAATAAAATACTAAGAGATGTTTCATGAGAACAGTATGTTTGGTTATTTATTTATCATAGGATATGTGAATATAATATGTATATATATTTTAACGTGATCATCATCATCAACCTCGTCAGCCCAGAGACTTCAACTGCTGGACATCGACTTTCTACATATAAGACATACATAAGCCACTATATTTAAATCGAGTTACTACGTCTCCGTTCATCTGTAGTAAGTAAAATAAAATGAGAATATTTATTCTTTCACCCAGATTTCCACGCTTGTCCCAATGTTGAGTACCGGTGCTAGGACAATCTGTAAGCCTTCATGACTTAGCACTACCATTCAACTCATTTTTTGGGTAAGCGATAACCAATTCCATTTAAAAGGCAGGAAGGCCGTTAATCCCATGCGACAAACCTACACATTGTGTCAAGAATTGCGACGGCATTACCATTTACTTTAGGCTTCAGTCACCGTCTAACACTAAGTAAACCAGACTTCGTCTGAACATCTATTGATATTAATTTTTAGAGTTCATGTCATACAGCTAACAAGTAGATCCAACATGCATAATGCAGATAATAAATGGGCACATTTGTATATTTTTTAGACAAAAAATACTTTGACTTGCTTTTGAAGCATATAACCGTTAAATAAATTAGCCGACTTTTGTTACAGCTATAGTTTTCTAGATAGCATTAAACAAATCGCACGTATATGGACACTATTTATAGTAAAAGTTCTCGAAATAAAATAAGCCGAAAACTCGCCACAAACATTTGTCCTGAAATCCTTTTCGGATGCGGAGAAAAAGTTTTGAAGCCAGTTACTGTTTTATACCACATATAAAACAGCACATACTACAGAACTGAGCGAAAAGTTGGCGTTTATCGGATTTTGTCTGCGTCNTAAACAAATCGCACGTATATGGACACTATTTATAGTAAAAGTTCTCGAAATAAAATAAGCCGAAAACTCGCCACAAACATTTGTCCTGAAATCCTTTTCGGATGCGGAGAAAAAGTTTTGAAGCCAGTTACTGTTTTATACCACATATAAAACAGCACATACTACAGAACTGAGCGAAAAGTTGGCGTTTATCGGATTTCGTCTGCGTCGTATGTATAGCTGTTACATAGTAAAGTGAACATTATTACGTTTCAGAAAATTTTGATATATGCTCACCTCTGAAACGCAAATTGCCGAGCAATTTATTACGTTTAAAAGCTCCTTTTGAAAAGTTAAATCGAACAGCGCGTATGTTTAAAATGTTTCGGAATATTGTATTGTAGAATTTAAAATTCATAGTCTCACAAGGAGTTAAATGAAATATACATACGAAATATATATGTGATAAAAACTTTAACATTCCCCAAAAAAATTTCTTATAATGAAACATGACCATGATACTATATGATAATCTATAAATTAATACCACATATTAACGCAAAAACTCTGTACCCGTTTTTACGAAAATTGTTCGGACGGAGGAGTGCGAAATTTTCCACACTTATAGAGAATATAGAGGAGTGCAGAATTTTAATATTTTTTTTTAAATTATGCATAAAAAATACATTAAATCGACAGAAAAACATTAAACTCTCTTGTATATTGTTAGTCTGTGGTCAAATTGAGAATAGATTAATATTTTTTGTCTTCAATATTATTTGTCATAGTATATAGCCTTAGCGAAATCTGTGATTATAGAAGTATATAGTCTGTGACCAGTCTAGAACCAATAATAATAATCAAACTATAATTTCAAATAATTATAGTGGAATTTCGACTGCCGCGGGACCACTAGTATATATAATTACTCTTTCTGTAAGCCTAGAACCTACAAACGATTACGAGATAGAAATTATCTACAATCCGAACAGGCCCTTTCTATAAACAAGCAAATCGATATGACTATGCCAGACCGCAACTATTCTTTGAAAAATATTAGTACGAGACCCGTTTTTGCGGACAATAACTTGGCAAACAGTAACTTATAACATTGCTAATGCCCGTGAACGGTGTTAATAACTCACAATTAAGCCTTATGTACGTTCGCCTCGCTTCGGTGGCAATAGAAGATGAGCATAATATTTTCACGCTCATCCGTATAATGAAATAAATCATTCATATCTATTCATAAGATAAACAAAAGCATAATTAAAAGTAAATTTACGGTTTAATTTCGCGTTTTTTACTGTTATTATACTATTTCTGAGGTTTCGAATAGTTTACAGTTTTCGTAACAGGACGATCAGTCAGTCGTAGTAAATTTTATTTTAATTACGTCTGTCGTGAAAACCGATGAAAACATTAAACTAAAGCAATCTCAATTCAAATAAGTGCTCGGACCAAGTCGCATGTTACGATTCCTAATTTAAGGGAGAACGGCAGTTTTTGTACCACTATTATTGAAGTGAAAACTTCTTTAGAATCGTTGTGATTTCAAACCGGATGCAACGGAAAAAACGACAGGAAAGAGACACAAATACAAAAATGTGTAGGATGAATGAGACAGAAATATACATACTATTTAATACAGCGCCATCTGTGAGATTTTTTTAATACTAACGTGTGTATGAAAGCTCTTGTAGTGAATTTTAATTTAGGATTATACGTGAAATTAAAATATAAATTCACAGAGGGCGCTACCTTACAATTATTTACTAATGACAAAATTTTACATATACGTTTAGGATAATTGTATTTTAATTTTGGAAGGTTTCACTTCTACCACGTGTGAATTGCACACATGTTTTTTTTATTGTTTCCTTATAAGAGTAGTCTGATTTATAAAGAGTAACAATCCAAATATTTTCGTGTATTTATTATATTTTTAAAACTCTGCAAAAACAAAAAAAAAACTTATTTGAAAAAAAGATAGCAAATAAACGTTGATCGTTGATAACAAAACGCATTAAAGTTTTTTGAAACTTGACATGTGTAAGGAAAAACTGTTTTACTAAACGAAATGAAATCGATACTGTACAGACAGACAAATTTAACGAAAATAACTTTTTGCTAAAAAATAATTGGAAGGCTTGGCTGTATGGGCTGTGTATGTCACAATACCTATGTTTGCAAAGTTCTAAAAAACTTGATAATTAAAATTATATTCGACAATTATATTATCTATCAAATAAATAAAACTATATGAAAAAACATGAAACTTTATAGAGGTACAATTGTCCCATCCGGTCCGGCAATTGTCCTTTAATGCATTCGTGATATGCCATAACATTTTCAACCTTACCAGAATTAGTCTGCGGTCTGCTATGCATTAAAATTATTGTGCTTACATTCATTAATCTAAGAGTGTATTTTAGCATCACGTTGTTTTTTTTATTGGCAATAAAAGATTATCTGCATACATTTTCGTTTATTACCCTTAGATCTTGTAATTTATGTTTACTCGTCGTCTGGTGTAGTGGTAAGTGACATGGTCACTACACAAGGGGGTCGCGGGTTCGAATCCCGCCAATGGGAGATATTTGTATGATAAATATAAATATATTTTCCAGGGTTATGGATGTATATTAAATATATGTATGTGTATAATAAAAATCTTACATTTATTTCCGTTATCTGGTACCTGTAACACAAGTTCTTTAGGAACTTATCACGGGACCAGTTAACGTGGCGTGATTTAAAAAAAAAAAAAAAAACATGTATAGATTATACATTATATGTTACTATGAAAATTTATAAAAGTAACGCGAATTTTGGTCGTGAAAATGTTTTAATTAAGACATAAAATAAAATAACAGTTTCGTTGGTTGTGAATTAAATTAGTTGGTTAGATATTAAAGTTCTTCAAACTTGTTAATTATGAGAAAAGACAAAGGCCCTGGTCTGTTGCTTCTGTACATAAATGATACTGTTGAGCTTTGAATGGTCCATTTATACAATAGAAATGAATAGACTTTGATTCTCTCGCTCAAACCTGAANTTAATTAAGACATAAAATAAAATAACAGTTTCGTTGGTTGTGAATTAAATTAGTTGGTTAGATATTAAAGTTCTTCAAACTTGTTAATTATGAGAAAAGACAAAGGCCCTGGTCTGTTGCTTCTGTACATAAATGATACTGTTGAGCTTTGAATGGTCCATTTATACAATAGAAATGAATAGACTTTGATTCTCTCGCTGAAGCCTGAACTTCGAATTGTAAGACCAGGAAAACCCCATTAAAATGAATTATTATTCAGATCAGCATTTCAGAGGAAAATTAAAAACTGGCACGATTGTTTGTGAAATAGTGCAGAGCTGCACAATTGAGTGCGTTAATTGTTTTAACTTTCTATAAAATACCTCATTAGATCCTTATTATGCAAACATTCGTGTGATAAACAGATGCATTCCCTCGGTGTGCCCTCTGTCTGGATGTATACTATCTATATATTATATATTTATTTTATATATATTTTAACGTGTTGAGGAGGAAGTGTGAAAGTAGCCCCGGTTTTTTTTTATTTGGTCAGGAGGAAATCGCCGGACTTCCGCCCTCCACTGGGGATGGAGGGCGGGGCATGTCATAGTCGAACTGACTAAAACCTCCTGTCGCTCAACAACCAACGTCCAAACCTCGCATGAGACAGAACTCATGAAAAGGCAAAGGGGGGAAAGTGAAGCGTTTAGTTTAGTGCGGAACACATCTCTCCCATCACCCTCTCAATCGGGACGCCGGACGGCGGTCGTCGGCGCCACGACCACCAGCCCTCTCGGTCGGCAGGCTATCCGAAGGCCGCCTAGACGGTAATCAACAAATTAAAGAGTGGACGATCAGCGTGGTATGGATCTGTGATGCGTAGAGAGAAGATGCATGTGACTAGGAGATGTATGGAAATGGTAGTGTAAGGTAGAGGGGGAAGAAAG